CACAGACGACATATCAGACATCTTTGTTTTCAATTATGATTTTTACTGCAATTTACGTTTTCTTTTACTGTATCTTCGCTTGATATAATTCAATTAGTTTAAGCCGCTGAAATGCATCGCGCATTTAAATGGAGATCATGGTGATAAAAGAAAAATAAACTGCAAAGCCGTGGTTAACTTCTCAATGTGCTTCTAGTCGAAAACGTAACAAAATGGCCCGATTGAAAGCAAAATCATGTCGGGGCAACAAAATGGTACTTGATCGAATAAAAAAGGACATACATTGACATGCATGAAATGAGGACAACATTTACCTCGGTTCAGTGTAAATGCAATAGTGAAGTGAGCTCAACCCAACAACTCAAGGAGATTAACTTAAACATACTTCATTCTGGTTCAATTAAGCTTTCTTACATGTTTGGCCGAACAGAAGGCTTTCTCAGTTCATGTTGAACTCAATATGATGGACCGCAAGAGGGTTGCAAAATTCACTCTAGTCTGCTCGAACATTTGGTTCATTCTTTTTCTCCGCAATATTATACATATAAAAGTAAAGTATCAAAGAAAGACATGTCATAAATGAAATTATCATGTTATATGTCATGTACGTGTGCCATAAATATCTAGTAATTCATTAGGTTTCCCAAGATACACAGTGTATTGGATGCAACCCAATTTAAGAAATTTAGATATTTTAACGTTCAAATTCACACATTTGATTCTTCTCATAAATTTGATAACCCCTTCTTAAAAAGCCAATATTGAATTTTTTCCATCAGATTTTATTGTAATAAACTTTTTCATCAGATTAGCAATGTATCTATAGGAGATGGTTTCTCCTTGTCAAGCTTTGGTCCTCTCACTGATAGCTCAGCTTGCTTAATTACAAGTCGCGGTTGTGGCTAGAGTATATCTCTTGTTTGCAATGCATCTACCATTTTCTACTAATCAAAATCAGCACTGCTCAAGTAAGTGTGCGAGCGACTCCTCAATTACCATGAAGCAAAAAGGCCAAACCCGGAAAAGTATTTCATAACAGAAGCGTTATTGGTAACCAAAGAACTACGACCAGTTGCATTGTTTTTAGGGAAAATTACCAAAAAAGTCCTCAACCTTTTGCAGTTGTGCCAATTCAGTCATAAACCTTTTTTTTTACCAATTCAGTCCTAAACTTTTTGCAAACCAGCCAATTTAGTCCTTTTGGCCGGCCGGCGCTGACGTGGCCGCCGGCCGGCTGACGGGCCGCCGGCCGGCGTCCACGTGGCAATATTTTAATATTTTTTTTTATTTTCGAATTTTTTTTCCTTTTTTCTTTTTTTTTTCTTTTCCTTCTCCCCCCTGGCCTGTCCGGCCAGGGGGGAGGCTCGCCGGCGAGGGCCCAGCTCCGGCGAGGCGAGCTAGGCCCTCGCCGCCGCTAGGCGAGCTCGCCCAGCTCCGGCGAGGCGGAGCTCGCCATGGCAGGGCGAGCTCCGCCTCGCTAGATCTGGGCGAGGGCGGAGCTCGCCCAGCCAAGGCGAGCTCCGCCTTGCCGGAGCTGGGCGAGGGCGGAGCTCGCCCAGCCATGGCGAGCTCGCCCAGCTTCGGCGAGGCGGAGCTCGTCCAGCCAAGGCGAGCTCCGCCTCGCTAGATCTGGGCGAGGGCGGAGCTTGCCCAGCCATGGCGAGCTCCGCCTCACCGGAGCTGGGCCCTCGCCGGCGAGCCTCCCCCCTGGCCTGTCCAGCCAGGGGGGAGAAGGAAAAGAAAAAAAAATGAAAAAAGGAAAAAAATTTGAAAATAATAAAAAAATATTAAAATATTGCCAGCGTCAGCGCCGGCCGGTCAAAAGGACTGAATTGGCTGGTTTGCAAAAGGTTTAGGACTGAATTGGCAAAAAAAAAAGATTTATGACTGAATTGGCACAACTGCAAAAGGTTGAGGACTTTTTTGGTAATTTTCCCATTGTTTTTATTACAATGCATATTTCATGTACATGTACTATTGTTGACACTCTTTACTTTAGCTATAGGTAGAACATATATGCTTGAACATCAAATATACTAAAACACACTTGCGTGGGTGTGTGTGATACATAGCACACGAGGATCATTTGGTGAGTAATGAACCATGAGTTACACGGAACTTAACAAACCCTAGTTATGAACCGCATGTCCTATGCTCGGGTTGTGACCCGGAGACGTGGGCCTAAAGCCACCTAGACGGCTCGGAGGCGATGGCTCCGAGTCTTGTGACTCATCCCCTTCTCCAATTGAAGGCATGGTGAGTGGCGAGTCAACACTTTCCATGTCGGAGTTGTTTAGGTGGCCGCCATGCAAATTGATGCTGTTGTTCTCCAAGGTTTTTCTGATGCTTAGTCGAACCATCTCGTTGGTACTAGGTTGGAGCTTTTCAGACATGTTTCGGCTTGTTTTTTTCATTTGCCTTCCTACAATAGGTTGAATTTCCTGGGTCAGAAATAATAACACCAGAAGGCAGATAAAGAATAGCTTATGGGCCATTGAGAGAGAGAGAGAGAGAGAGAGAGAGAGAGAGAGAGAGAGAGAGAGAGAGAGAGAGAGAGAGAGAGAGAGAGAGAGAGAGAGAGAGAGAGGGGACGGATGAGCCGGATGCCCTAATTCCAAGATCTTCATGGGTATTTATAGGGCTGTAAGGACCATGGATTGTTCTATTTCTTCTTGTTGAGTGTTCAAGGCCTTGAGAAGTGGCAAATCATTATAGTCACAATAAAGGAAAAGTGGAAACCTTATTCTTTTAAAGGTAAATATTAAACAGCGCATCTAAATACTTTTTTAAGAGTAATTAATTTTGTTTTGTAAATAGAAACATTCATATTTCAATCTAATGCTTTCTTGAAATATATTCTTGTTGAATTTTCAAAATGTTTTAATATGGGGTTTTACTATATTTAGTAGTTCTAACTAGTTTCCCTAATATATTGGTTAAGAAGACAAATTCGCAATATAGAATAGAAAATTAGTGGGAGAATTTATGCATATCATAAGTTGTTCATACGATCAGGGTCCATAATGACCTTATATTTATGTAGTCTCTCCATTACCAAATCGAAGTTCTAACTAGTTTCCTTTATACACCGGTTAAGAAGACAAATCCACAATATAGAACAGGAAATTAGTAAGAGAATTTATGCATTATTTTAATATATCATAAGTTGTTCATACAATCAGGGTCCATAATGACCTTATATTTATGTTGTCTCTTCATCACCAAATTGAAGTTCAAAAAACCTTATCTCAAACTTTGTAATATGGTATCAGTATAAAAGTTTCAATTCTTCATGCTCCATTGAACAATTCTTTGTCCCTATTGATTCTTATTCATCTTATTTCTCGTGTCGTGGAATAAAGGCTATAACAAGAAATTACAAGGTCTGGTAAATCACAAATTATTACGACTATACCACAATTATCTAATTGTCCTTAGATCCTCAAAATTCCAAGGACTATTTTTGTGACACTTCTAAGTTAACTTATTCGAGATATTGTTTGCTTTGACTTATTCCATACTTAGCCTCACAGTTTTGTCCTTTGATGTACTACCAAGTACTTTCTCAAGAGATCACTCATGCTGATAGTTCTTTCACCTGAGCATGCTAAACATTGACGTTACAATGCTAAACTTTGCCGTTATATCAAAAGGCTCCTCTTGCGAGTTGACTCCAGAAAGCTCGACGTCAATTCAATTCATCCATGCCGTTTCGCCATCCTAGAAGCCTATTAAGAGCCGATCCTTGTTCGAACTCTGTCACTTGAGCGATCACCTCATGACCTCATCGGATTGAATTGTTACAATTCTCCTAACATGAAGCCTAAGAACTACTTCTATGAAAATATGCACTCCAAATATTCAATTAAGGTAAAAAAAAAAAAAAACACGCGTTCGCTGCACTTTAATATCGCAAACTCCACGATTTCAAAGTACTCAAAATCTACAAATTGTAAGTGGGTTGGCCTTACTGCTAAGTAAGCGGATCATCCACTGAGCAAGTAATTCAACAACTCAACTAGGGGATCATACATGCCAGAAAACAACTGCACTAAACAATTTGGTAGCAAAAGTTCACATCAAAATATATATGTTTTATATGTTTCCCATTAGCCAATCACCAAAACCATAATATATACACATGCACCTCGATGGCTAGGGTCACAATATAAAACTTTTTAAAAATACACGTCCTGATGCTCGCCCATGGCCGAGGCTGGAGACCGTAGGAGGGAAATAAGGAAAAAGGAAAAAAGAGAAAGGAAGGAAAAAAGGAAAGAAAATAAAAAGGAAAAAAATTCAGAAAATTGTTAAAATAAATTACAAAAATCCTCCATGACAGCGATTTCTGGCCAAAATTAGCCGGAAAACTAAATTGACAAATTTTTAAAAGGTTTAGAACTCAATTGGCACAATTGAAAGGTTTAGGACTAAATTGGCCAATAGTCAAAATGTTTTAAGACCTAATTGGCCAAATTAAAAGATTTAGGAGTGAATTAGTACAAGTGCAATATATTTATTACTTTTTTGATAATTTCCCTGTCAAAGCATCACTCAGAAGTTCAAATAATGCACTTCCTCTACTTTTTTGGTAATTTCCTTTAATTTTTTCGCTGCTATTACTATTCTGTTTGTTTTCCTGTGTATTATCACCAACTTGATTTGGATACATTCATGTCCTATTTTTCATATGTAGGGAACTGGTTATATGCAAAGAGAATCCTCAAAGAATAAGTCATAGATATTGTTGGCCGGTTCCAATGTATTAGCTGAAGTTTTTTATAGAAACATATTAAAATTTTTTAAAGTAGTCATGTCGTTTACATATTAAAATTTTAAAGTTTCTCTACCTAGCATTCATGTGTTCATTTCCCATTTAAAATCTGAATATAACACAAAAAACTTCTGTCCTGGTACTTTTCCTGGCGCCAACATAACATAATATTGGGGAGATTGAGAAGATAGTAGTACAGCAGAAAACTGGAATACCATACAACATTCAACGCATATGATAGCTGATGAATATTATTTAATGATTACATATCTCAATGCCAAATTGACAGATAATTTTATACACACCGAGCAGAACCATTTCCAGAGAAACTGAAGAATAACATTTTGGGACATGAGACCTAACTGAACCAGAATTGACAGGACTTACACAACACAACACAGCTTCAACTTTTTATTTTGAAGTATTTAGGCTTTTGGTTCCTCATTCTTGCTTTAAAAAACATGGCCAACACCGGGGCTGTGACCCGGTCTAGTGGATTGGAAGTCGTCTGGTGTCCCCGTAACAGTTAGCCTTTCCTCATTGCCGCTCAGAGCTTTCGGTCGAACAGCTTCATTCTTTAAGCCAACAAAAGAATGGCCCACTCTGGGGCTGTTCCTGGGGTTTGTGGGGCGCAAATCATCCTTGTACACTGCCTCTGACTTGCCCGAATCAACCGCCTGATCATGTGCTGTAGGTGAAGGAACCGTTTTCTTCCCCACATCAGAACGATCATCATTCTTAGGAGACTGACTTGGAGTGATAAATTGCGATGCTTGTTCTTGCATTTGGTTTTTGTTGTTTATTGAACGGAGTTCATCCTTCCATGCTGAGTTTATTGACCTCCCCTCGGAAGTTAGAATTGCATGGAACGCGATGAAGGTGAAGATGATCACGAATTTCGATATGACTTGGAGATCAGCCATAGCCAGAGAAGTGTGGAAAAGGAAGTTTGATTTTTCTACTTTGAAGTGAGCGACGAGAAGAATTAGGTAAGAAGGAATATAGTCAACTGAATGAGAAGCACTTGAACTCTGCATTTCTATTTATAGGCTTGAGAGAGTGACTTTATGAGAATCTTAACCCACTGATCAATTCCATATTAAACTATGTATGTGGACCTCATTGTGGTGCTTCTTCGTGGATGGCGATTATTGCAATAAGATCACTCAAAGTGCATCATTAGTATATATTATGTCCATGTTATTGCAAGAGCAATATATTTATTTCTTCTAATTTAGAAGATCTCTCTCTCTCTCTCTCTCTCTCTCTCTCTCTCTCTCTCTCATATGTTAATGTTGTTCTTTTACACTTTACTACTTCTATCGTTTATAAAGACCGGAACGAAAAAGCGTTGGTGCCGACTTTGACAATTTTAATATTCCATGGTAACATCTCCACCAACTAAAACTGGACACTGCTTGTTTTGACCTTTTGATTGTGGTGAAGAAATTTTTTTTTTTGTAGTTTATGAATATTCTCAAGGGCATGTCATATGACAACGACCGTTCTTGGTTGACCTCGTTTCATGGTTTTCAAAAGAATTTTGGGTGCTCATACAGTAAGCACATCGGACAGGCAATAAGCACCAATCTACCATGGATCATCAGGGAAAGTGCCATAAAAGTCATAAACCTTTTGCATTAGTGCCAATTTAGTCATAAACCTTTTTTTGGTACCAATTCAATCCTAAACCTTTTGCATTGGTGTCAATTTAGTCCTAAACCTTTTTTTGGTGTCAATTTAGTCATAAACCTTTTAAATTGGTGCCAATTCAGTCCTAAACCTTTTGTTTTTGTGCCAATTTAGTCCTTCCGGCCAATTTTGACCGGAATTTGCCGACGTGGACGCCTGCCGGCCGGCGACCGGTCACCGGCGCCGACGTGGCGTTGACGTGGACAAATTAAATAATATTTTAATATTTTTTTGAATTTTTATTTTTTTCCTTTTTTTTCTTTTTTTTTTCCACTTTTTTTTTGGGTTTCTCCTTCCTCTGGTCGGTCGCCGGTCCGGCGACCGGCCATAGGCCAGAGGCCGGCGAGCTCGACCTCGCCGGCCATTGGAGAGGGCGGCCTCGCCCGACCATGGCGAGGCTCGAGCCCTCGCCGGCAAGGCTCGACCTCGCCAGATCCGGCGAGGGCGGGCCTCGCCCGACCATGGCGAGGCTCGCCCTCGCCGCGGCCTCCCGGCGAGGGCTCGAGCCTCGCCTAGCCACCGGCGCGGCCCGACCTCGCCGGATCCGGCGAGGTCGGGCCTCCCGACCATGGCGAGGCTCGCCTCACCGCGGCCTCCGGCGAGGGCTCGAGCCTCGCCATGGTCGGGGGAGGCCTGACCTCGCCGGATCTGGCGAGGTCGAGCCTCGCCCGACCAAGGTGAGGCTCGGTCTCGCCGGGCGAGGCCACCCTCCCTAGTGGCCGGCGAGGTCGAGCTCGCCGGCCTCTGGCCGGTCGCTGGACCGGCGACCGGCCAGAGGAAGGAGAAACCCAAAAACAAAAGTGGAAAAAAAAAAGAAAAAAAAGGAAAAAAATAAAAATTCAAAAAAAATATTAAAATATTATTTAATTTGTCCACGTCAGCGCCACGTCGGCGTCGGTGACCAGTCGCCGGCCGGCAGGCATCCACGTCGGCAAATTCCGGTCAAAATTGGCCGGAAGGACTAAATTGGCACAAAAACAAAAGGTTTAGGACTGAATTGGCACCAATTTAAAAGGTTTAGGACTGAATTGGCACCAAAAAAAGGTTTAGGACTAAATTGGTACTAATGCAAAAGGTTTAGGACTTTTATGGCACTTTTCCCTGGATCATCAGGTTCAAGCACACGAAGAAATGACCTTGCACATTGCTCTTAATTTTCCCTACTATGCAATATATCTAACTTAAGTAAGAGAAGAGTCCTCAATAATAAATAATGGAACTTGACACTTGTGAATGTGTAGGATGGCTAGAGATGACTAGACTGCCACGACAGATAAATTAGGCGAGATTTGGCCCGAGTGAATTCAATTGCACTTCCATTCAAATGTTTAGGACTATATTGATTCAATTAAGAAGGATGAGGACTTGATTGGTTTCCGTACAGTAAGTTAGAATTTTTTATGTGTGTGACTCGGCTGTTTTGATCATTGCTCTAAAATCCTTGTGAGAGAAACCCTCCTTATAATAAGTAGGACATATCTAGAGACTACAGGATAAGAACCCTAATGAGCAAATTTAGGCTTCCATACCACAGTCTACAGGCACCAAACATTTAGGGATTCTCTGTACTCTCCACTTTCGAGGAGAAGAGTCTAAAATGTTGACGGTTACCATTTTCTTTGGTGGACAAATTCAAGTGAAATTCCAACTGTCTCTGTACTTTGTTGTTTGACCGTTCATTTTCTTGATGGCTTTCACAATTAAACTTTTAAAATTGGCTTAGAATGTGCATGCTTAGCTGCCAAAAGGCGTATAAGATTTGTTTTTGATTGCCAATAAAAAAAAGGACCGTTTACAGAGTGTCTTCAAAATACTGATTAGGTAAACTTAATTTACGTTTTTCTTAAATTGTGTCCTTGGAGTACACATTAACATAACTCATAAGATAAATAATTGGGTATGCTAACATTCATTTAGTAAGTTAGTGCACTTAGTGACGAGAGAATAACATTCAAGCGAATGGGTAGATCATATTCAATATCCAACAAAATTCTGTGGCATCACTTAGTGTATAGTTTAGTGATCTTAGTAAACCTAGCTTTATTCTAAAGATAGATAATTTGTTTAGCAGTTGTAATCGTGACTTAATATTCATTAAATAGGTTGAGGCATTGAGTCATTTAAAGAACATCACAACTGGAAAAGTGGATGATTTTCAGAGTCTGGAAAAGGTCGGTTTCTGCTGAGCTGAATGAATTTATGTTGCAGAAGCACATGTATGTCGAACTCCTTATTTAATCCATGCACCACCGTCCCATTGAAATCGACTCGCGGTTGGAAATCATTCCAACTGTTTGAAACTTCCTACGTGATCACGACATAATTTTGTCGAAATTAATATATACTAAGAATTGTTTGTATTTATCCTCTTACACGAAATATTCTCTGCGTTGTCAGAAACACTTGATGAATAAATCAAACGAACATTCAGACAATATTAACCTGTTTCCTTAAAGTGCTTTCTTATGTAAAGGACATGCGATTGGGAAATGTGTGAAGATGGACTTTTTGCGTTAAGTATACAAAATCAGTACTTTTCATTTTGTTTTCCTATATTGGAAATACGAATCTGGTATTTGTGACTGGCAAGAAGAAGAAGAAGAAAAAAGACGGAAGAAGAATTTGACTTATTTGACGAAATGAATTTAAGTAGTTGTAGAATGTGGAAGATATAAATTCAATTTGTAAGATCTACGAGAGATTTATGCAATCATATCATTGTTATGTGATCGTCTTAGATTACCATTCTGTCCATTGTTTACATAGATATGGTTATTGTCCATCTTTACAGCTCATAGATATTACTAGAATAGTTGGGCAAAGTTCGAAGTTGAAAATGATGTTGAGTTTGCTTTGTTGTATAGAGATTATAATATTTAACAAGAGCCTTTAAGACGCTTATTAACTGTTAGGTCCAAAAAGCAATCAAGAGGAGGGTCAATTGATTATTAAAAAAAAAATACAAATTAATCTTTTAGAGAAAATTCTAATAAAAGTATATCTTCTGCACACAAAATGAACTAAGAATATAGACATCGGAAATTAAAGAGTTTAGAGAAAGAGAAATTGCAAACGGGATTTATAGAGATTCAGCTTGGGTGTGCCTACTTCTCTCTTTTAGCTCTAAAAGGCCAAATAGGTCGAATTCCACTAGTTACGCCAATAGTACAAATACCACCTTGTTGAAATTGTAGAACTTACTGCCACACGCAACCAGATTTTCTTCTAAAGCTACTCCACTATAGCTGAAGTAACTATTAAACATTCCAATAGTCGTTCTCACACCTTGTACACACAGCGCAACAGGTTTTTCCTAAAACTATAAACCCCAACTCTAAGTGTTTTTAAAGAGTCACTTGCCCACTTTATCTCTTACCTATTTAAATACCTTCACATTAAGTACAAGGTTTGTCACTTTCTCTAACTTTTAGAAAGAACACTCAAATGGGTATTACAAGCTTACAAAAGAGACGGACCCAAGAACATCTCAAGCATACTCAATTTCTTTCGTCGTCGCCCTTTCCGACAGCATGACTCCTGGCCGAGTTTCTCCAATTTATAGCTCCAGTTGGAACATTGAACTTGAATCAAGTAGGCATTATGTCATCTAATTCTCTGTAAAGAAATCTCGGCAAAATTCCTTAAAAAAAAGCCCAGAACCTTCCCCTATACTGGCCTGTCAATCAAATTTTCTATTGATGGCGAGTTACATTTATTAATGGCAGGTTTTGATCACGCCATCTCACTAATTTCTTGAGCGAATTAGTCCATGGTTTGTCGCATAAAATGGGCTGTCAATATCATACTTAATTGTTATGAGCCGGGTCTTCAATTTAGAAACTTCAAAATTCTTCAAATCTATATATGAAAAGTGCTAGACGATTAGGTCTAACTGCTTTCCAGATTGAAGATTTTGCTTTTAAATCCTTCATTTTGCAGATTTACAGACTTTGTGAAATTTTGGTCAAATGCTTGTACAATCAGAACTTAGTATCGGCATGATTAAGATATGATCCTCAACACACTTAAATGAACTCATTAAATATTAAGTTTAGTTATCCTCAAAATCCTTTAGGGATATTCTCCAACATTAACAAGGCCTAACAAATAACAATATAAATGTAAAATGACATATAGGCTCATCTTTTGCCTATTGTCGTATGGCATTTGGCTAGTGTATGTCTAAATTTCCTATATAAGTCATGCTAAAGGGTGTTTTCACGGCACTGATTATGCAAACTCAGTAAGGAATGTTTTACTTTACAACATATTGATTACGCGTATTACAAAAGTGTTGCTAT